CAATAAAGCTATTCTAACTGATCTACTTTAGATATATACAAACTAATGAGCGAATTTATTGGCTTAAACTACTTTACACATATTTAACAAGCGAGCCTCACTGCCTTGTCTTCATGTCAGGGACTCCTGAGTGACAACTGGCACTTGGAGCTCTATCTTCGTTCCCATGGGCCCGGTCTTGACCACTGTGATGGTGAAAGTCCCTCAGGTTGGGGAAAGTCTCCACTATTAATATTATTCTGAATCCGAAGTTGTGCTGTACGGCCATGCTGAGTACTTTCCCAAGCATTCCCCTGTGCTTGGTGGCCATAAACAAGTCCAGTGTCTGTTCGAAAACAGCCTGTTCCCAAAGCAAGGCAAGGTCATTGCAGTTACCTTCCAGCCAAAACAGGCTGCTTTTACACTAACATAAAACAAAGAACTACAAATGCTGGAGATCTGAAACAAAAACAAATTACTGGCAAAGCTCAGCAGGTCTGGCAGGGACTTTGGGAAGAAAGCAGAGTTAACATTGCAAATCAGGTGACTTCATCGGAACTCTAATTTCTTACACTAAGCTGTTTTCCAAGTATTTTCCTTCAGTTGCTTCTTGCTATCTTCAATTAATCCTTAACAATCTGGTTCAGAGATATTGTTTTTATACTACGAGGGGCTCATTAAAATTTATAAAAAGTATTCTTTGTACTGATTTTTCTTAAATAAAAGTAGAGGAAATAAAGGTTGCATGGCTCAGCCAATCTTTACCCAAATGGCATGGAAGGGGAGGACACTGTAAGGACAATTGTTATGGTGAGAGATGATGGGAGTGGTGGACTTTGCAGGCCAATTGAAAGTGTGTGGGAGGGGGGTGTTCATGTGATTTAATGTCTGGGAGTACATCCATTCAGGATTGACAACCTTATTGGGATCACTGATCCCTCCTCCTTCCCAAGACCAAGAGTATTCTAGAGTACTGTGCACAGGTTGGGTCTCCTTACTTGAGAAAGGATTTACTGGCACTGGAGCGGGTGCAGAGGAGGTTCACTAGGTTGATTCCAGAGTTGAGAGGGTTGGCTTTTGAGAAAGAGATTGCCAAGAGACTGGGACTATACTCATTGGAATGTGGGGCGATCTTATAGAAACATAAAATTATGAAGGGAATAGATAAGATAAAAACAGGGAGGTTGTTTCCACTGACAGGTGAAACTAGAACTAGAGGGCATAGCCTCAAAATAAGGGGCAGCAGATTTAGGACTGAGCTGAAGAAGAATTTCTTCTCCCAAAAGGTTGTGAATCTATGGAATTCCCTGCCCAGTGAAACAATTGAGGCTACTTCATTGAATGTTTTTGAGGAAAAGGTATATGGATTTTTGAACAGTAAAGGAATTAAGGGTTATGGTGAGTGGGCGGGTAAGTGGAGCTCAGTCCACAAAATGGATTAGCCATGATCCTATGGAATGGTGGAGCAGGCTTAGGGACCAGATGGTCCACTCCTGCTCCTATTTTTTACATTGTTATTCAAGTATGCAATCTATGAGGTCAAGTTAACAGCCTGTGATAACGGACCTGGGAACTTCCTGATTGCCACATAGCCTAGTGCTGCTATCAACCATTGCACTAGGCAATTAACCCCTGTCTTTAAAAACTGTTTTGAGTAGAGATCCAGTGGTTCAAGTGGAAGAGAATGAAGAGGGCCTGGCCACTCGTTCCCATACCTGACGGATCTCTCAGACACCAATTTATCAAAGAGGGTTTCACCAAAATCAGGCCTCTTGTTCCCAAATTAAAAAAAAACAAAAATTCCATAATTTTAACCACTTTCCTTAGCATTCCTATCTGAATGCCTACTTTGTTTTATGCATATGTCCTTTCCTCACATTGTTACAAATACCAATACCAAATCCAGAACAGAATACAAGTGTATGATTCAACCCAATTACATTTGGAGTCATAGAGCTCTACAGCAAGGAAATAGACCTTTTGGTCCAACTTGTCCATGCTGACCAGATATCCTAAATTAATCTGGAACCATCTGCCAGCATTTGGTCCATATCCCTCTAAATCATTCCTTTTCGTATACTCATCCAGATGCCTTTTAAAATTTGTAATTGTACCAGCCTCCACCACTTCCTCTGGCAGTTCATTCCATACACGCACCACCCTCTGCGTGAAAAAGTTGCCCTTAGGTTCCTTTTAAATCTTCCCCCTCTTACCTTAAACCTATGACCTCTAGTTTTGGACTCCCCTATCCTGGGGAAAAGACCTTGGTTATTCACCCTATCCATGCCCCTCATGATTTTATAAACCTCTATAAGGTCAGCCCTCAGCATCTGACGCTCCAGGGAGAATAGTCCCAGCCTATCCAGCCTCTCCCTATAGCTGAAACCCTCTAACCCTGGCAACATCCTTGTAAATCTTTTTTGAACCCTTTCAAGTCTTTCTAATGGTTAACAAAAACAGTTAAGAGTCAAAAACATAGAATGCTGGATAAACTCAGCAAGTCTGGTAGCATCAGTGGAGAAACAGAGTTCACATTTCAAGTTTGCTGTGACTTCTTGTTCTGACGAAGGGTTACTGGACTCGAAGTGTGAACTCTGTTTTTCTCCCTCCATGGATACTGCCAGATTTGCAGAGTTTCTCCAGGAATCTCCGTGTTTTTTTCTGATTTCTAGCATCCGCAGGACTGTGCTTTTATTTCGATTGAGAATCACTGTTGTGCCAACATTTGGCATCTCCCTCCATTCCCTATCCTGGTGCTATAAGATATTTACCAAGTTGGAGAGGGTCAATTAGCCCAGTTGGCTGGATGATTGAAGAATTCTGCCAACAGCATGGGTTCAATTCTTGTACCAGCTGAGGTTATCACAAAGGACTTTCTTTCTCACTCTCTCCCCTTGCCTGCGGCATGGTGACCCGCACATTAAACTCACCGCCAGCCAATGCTCTATAATGAGTGTGTAGCCCTATAATCTGAAAGGACTACAGCTTTACCTTTCCGCCTTGGAAGGTAAAAAGTTGGTCAGGTTCCATTGAGGATGCTCTACACTACAGTACAGCTTCCGAGAGGGTCTGGCTGCAGATTGCCTCGTCCAGAGCCTGGGCGGCCTGGCCCAAACATCTGTGTGGTACCACTGGAGGGAAGGTGGTGTAGTTGGTGGATTTGGTGACAGAGGAGCAGCCAGAATGTTGTCCTCAGTGATCCAGAGCAGAGTGCTGTGATTCTGGTTGATAATGGCCTCTGGACCCAACATTGTAGCTAGGTGAGGTTGTTAAACGTCGGCCCTCTGGTCAATTAGTACCAGCAGTAACCTATTCCCTTGCCCTAACTCTTGAATAGTATTTCAAAGAGTGAGGGTAATGTTGCGCAATTTGTCACCCACCCCTAATTGACCTGGAACTGGGTGTCTTGCTTGGCTAATTCAAAGGGTAATTAAGAGTCAGTCACATCGCTGTGTGTCTGGAGTCACATATAGGCCAGACTGGGTAAGGATGCAGCGCCTGCTGTGTTCATCCAGCTCTGCACCTTGTTGTCTCGGATTCTCCAGCATCTGCAGTTCTTACTATCTCTGGGTAAGGATGCTTCCTTCCCTTAAAGGCATTAGAGATGCCTGAACTATTTAGTTTTGCAACAATCAGCACATGGTCTCGTAGGTTCCCATTTGTCAGGCCTTTTAATTCCAGATTAATTAATTGAATTTAATTTCCAGCAGTTACCGCGCTCTCCAGAGTATTAGCTGGGAGTCTGGATTATTGATCTGTTGAATTTACCACTGCATCGCAATCTTCCTCAAATTGTTTTTCTTTTAAAGTAAGTGCATGTTATTTTATTTTTTAATGAATCAGCTGGTTATCGCTCAACTCTACACACTCACACAACTCTCCCCAAATCCACATCGTTTTGAAAGTCAGTTCCAAATGTTGGCACAATGGCTCAGTGTTTAGCACTGCTGCCTCACAGTGCCAGGGACCTGGGTTCAATACCAACCTTGGGTGATTGTTTGTGTGGGTCTGTGTGGGTTTCCTCCTACAGTCCAAAGATGTGCAGGTTAGGTGTATTGGCCATGCTGAAATGCCCCTTAGTGTTCAGAGATATGCAGGCTAGGTGGATTAGCCATGGGAAATGCAGGGTTAGTGGTAAGTTGATGGGTTGAATGGGATTCTGTGAAATGTTATACTGTGAAGAATAACTCATTTTGTCATAAGAAATATGAGCAGGAGTAGGCCCCATCTGGCCCCCTCGAGCCTGCTCTGCCATTCAATAAGATCATGGCTGATCTTTCTCATGGACTCAGCTCCACTTACCCGCCTGCTCACCAGAACCCTTGACAACAAGGTGCAGGGCTGGATGAACACAGCAGGCCAAGCAGCATCATAGGAGCAGAGAGGCTCTTAATTCCTTTACTGTTCAAAAATCCATCTTTGCCCCAAAATTTATTAAATGAGGAAGCCTCAACTGCTCCACTGGGTGGGGAATTCCACAGATTCACAATACTTTGGGAGAAGAAATTCCTCCTCAACTCAGTCCTAAATCTGCTGCCCCTTATTTTGAGGCTATGGCCCCCGAGATCTAGTTTCAGCCTCCTTGTTTCTATCTCATCTATTCCCTTAATAATTTTGTATGTTTCTATACTCGCTTGTCCTCACTTTTTGTTTTATCTGTTATAGAAAAAAAGACTTGCATTTATATGGCACATTTCACAAACTCAGACAATCCCAAAACACTTACAGACGACAAAGTACTTTTGAAGCGTAGCGACTGTTTATAATGTCATGCCAATTTGCACACAGTCAGCTCCCACAAATAGCAGGGATGTTTTGTTTGCGGGTTAAACGGTGGCCCTGGCACTAGGTGGAATAGAGTGGGGAATATCTACCTTCTTCCCAAATAGTGGTGTCTCTTAAATCCACCTGAGGGAAAAGGTGTGGCACATCTAACAACGCAACATTCCATCAGGACTGCACTACCCTCACGTCTCCACTGTGGCACTCAGAGTGCAACCCAGAGAGAGAGTTGAATTTTGTTCTCTTGTTCGTCTGCCCTTTTAAGGCGATCTCTGCTGTAGCCCTTTTAAATTGTACCGTGCTGGCGGAAGTGTAAGGCTGTGCATTGTGGGGCTAAGGGGAGTATGTGAGCACTGCGATCAGGGAGGAGAGGGAATGCAATGTAACGTAGAGTGGTTACAGTGTGGCGAGGAACAGTTAGGAAAAAGCATGTTACAACAGGACGGTGTTCTTTGCTGAAGAGGAATGCAACATACTGCAGTGATCGAGGGAGCTGGAACAAAAAGAAACACCCTGGGCAGGTTAATAATTCGCCTATTACATTGAAAGAAACAGAGGAAGCGAGAGAAAAATCAGTGTGCGAGTACTCACACGTCAGGACAGGAATTCGCTTTGCAGAACCTTTACTAGCCACTGAAAGGGAGAATCTTCAAAAACCAAACATGAGGTAAGACTTATGGTCTTTATTTTCTTGTCAGTTTCTGCGTCTGTGTGAATTTCCACCAGTTAATAACGTGCTTTTGAGCTGCTGAATGGGATTAAATTTCCTTGGGTTTGTGTTCTAAACAGGACGTAAGTCCTTTGACTTCTGAGTAAAACGAAATGGGCAAAGTTTCTCTACGCCTCGTGTAGGAAAATTAATTCTTTTTGTTTCCTAAGACGCGAATGATTCGGCTGAATTATAAAAATACAGTTTAATCAAGTTTTTAAAATCCGTTGGGTTTAACTGCAGTGAAAGATCAATCAGATCGAAACTTCTGCGTTTGATTCCGGTTCCCTCATGAGTGGGGATTTTTTTTTAAAATGGGGAGTTGAATTTTTTTTTGTTTGTTATTAAGAAATATCAACTGTTAATTCTGTCACTGTCCGTGTGCTTGTTTCCCCTCTTGAAGAAACTTAATTTCAAGTGCACTTTTTTTCCAATTCTGCAGTTAGATACAAAACAATGCAACATACCTTTTTAAAGCCCGGATTGTTCATTTGTTTTCAGTTCAGTGCTGATCTTGGAGGAGGAGCAAATGTTTTAATGAGTTCTGTTTAGCGTGAGTTTGGTAGGGAATGTAATTAATGTGGTTTTGATGATGTTTTGTTACAAGAATTTTGCAGACTAGTAACCACAGTCGAGGGTAAGCTATTAAACTGCAAACAGCCAACTTTCCCCTCACGCTGTTTATTCAAGCTAAGATTCCATTGTGCCATCTCTTTTCTCTTTCCTTGCACACCACCACCACCCCCCCCCCCGACTCCTTTTCTTAGATTAAACGGTGAAAGTCTTCTGGTGCAGAAAATCTAAAAGTTTTTGAAACCTGACTTCTGTAATAGCTTAAACATGACTTCCTGAGTCGCTCTTCTCAACTCAGCTGCTTTATATCAGCCTGAGTTTTACAACCAAGTTTCCTGGTAACAAGAGTGTATGTGTCTGCACGCACCTTGTGTGTCTCTGCATTTAAAGTGCCTTTTAGTCACTTGGTTTGATTGTACAGTTCCAGTTGCCGTGTGACAACACGGCATGTTTAAATAAGGAAAGCAAATAGTTGTTGGGTGGATTTGGGTTTCTTCCCAACGAAAAAAAAATTCTTTGGATTAGACCCATGTCGCTTCCAATGTAATCAGTAATTTAAAGAGACATTTGGAATTACTTGGCCATGTATGGAAGAAGAGATTCCAGGGCAGGTAGAATTTGAGCTAGATTGAAAAGGAGAGTTCATGTTTAAAATCCAGAGACCCTGATTCCGAAGAAGGGTCACTGGGCTCAACATTAACTCTGCCTTCTCTCTCTCTCTTTAGCAGATGCTGCTGGACGTGCTGAGTTTCTCCAGCAATCTCTGTGTTTAAACCTGGTAATGTTAACTCACTCTCTCTCTCTCTCTTCCCCGCCCCGTTTCCCCCCCCCCCCAGCAATTTCCGATATTTATTTGCAGATTTCCCACAGTTTCTTTTATTTTGTTTTGGATTTAAAAGAAGAGAAGAATTGTAATAAGCCAATTGTGAGACTGTTAATCCAAGGACCCAGGTAATGTTCTGGGACCTGGGTTTGAATGCCACCACGGCAGATGGTGGAATTTGAATTCAGTAAAAATCTGGAATTAAGAGTCTAATGATGACCATCAATCCATTGTTGATTGTCGGGAAAAACCCATCAGTTCTCTAATGTTCTTTCAGGGAAGGAAACTTCCATCCTTACCTGGTCTGGCCTACATGTGACTCCAGACCCACAACAATGTGGTTGACACTGAACTGCCCTCTGGGCAATTAGGGATGGGCAATAAATGCTGACCTAGCTCATGAATGAATTTTAAAAAAACCCCAACCGGGGAAACTTCAATTTGTCTGTGTCTACTCTGTCCATCCCTTTTTAAAGGTCTTGAGGCTGTTTTCATTAGAGAGAAGAAGGTTAAGAGGTGACTTGATAGAGACATACAAGATGATCATAGGATTAGATAGGGTGCACAGTGGGAGCCTTTTTCCTCGGATGGTGATGACTAGCACGAGGGGAAGTAGCTTTAAATTGAGGGGTGATAGATATAGGACAGATGTCAGAGGTAGGTTCTTTACTCAGAGAGTAGTAAGGGCGTGGAATGCCCTGCCTGCAAAAGTAGTAGACTCGCCCACTTTAAGGGCGTTTAAATGGATAAACATGGTCATTGGATAAACATATGGATGATAATGGAATAGTTTAGGTTAGATGGGCTTCAGATTGGTTTCACAGGTCGGCGCAACATCGAGGGCCGAAGGGCCTGTACTGTGCTGTAATGTTCTATGTTCTAAAAGTATTTTGTAGATTAAAAAGGTAGCTGCAAGAGCCCACCTACAAAGGCTTCTGTTCTGTTAGCACCTCCAACAAATCTGCACTCCCATGGTGCTGTGTCTGGATTGTTGGCCTCATTCCCGTTTTCCATCCCTCGAGTGAGATTTCAGTCTGTAACCTTCGGACTCTCTAAAGGGGCAATGCTAGCAATTAGTCATAGTGGTTCAACCCTGAACTTCCTTCACTGCTCCCTCCTAAGCCGGATATAAAGTTGTTTCGAAATGTACTGTTTGAAAACAAAACTTTAACCAAGGTAGACTTTTATTTATTGAGGAAAGGCCGGGCATGTATCCTCAGGAGTTTAGAGTCTGAGGTGACTGAATTGAAACACCTAAGATCCTGAGGGGGACCTGACTGGGTGGATGTGGAAAGGATGGCTCCTCTTGTGGGAGAATCTAGAACGAGGGGTCACTGTTTAAAAATAAGGGGGTCCCTGTTTAAAACAGAGATGGGGAAACATTTTTTTCTGAGGAGTCGTGAGTCTTTGGAATTGCCTTCCTCAAAAGGCAGTGGATGCAGAATCTTTCAATATTTTTAAGGCAGAGGGAGATTGATTCTTGATGACCCAAGGGGGGTGAAAGAAGATTGGGGGATATGCAGGAATGTGGAGTTGAGGTTAAAATCAGATCAGCCGTGATCTTCTTGAATGGGGGAGCTGCCTGGAAGGGCCGAGTGGCCTACTCTTGTTCCTCCTTTTGTAGGTAGACATCCCCTGGTGGGTGACGGTAACAAAATCAAACAATCAATGGAAATAGATCAAAATTAAATCACAACAGCATTGCCTGGCCTGATGCATTTGAGCCCCTCTGGTGCCCACTGGTCTCTAGACCCTCTATTAGTACCAGTGGACAATGCACGTTCTCTCCTAATGGCACCGGAGCACAGACATAACCGCACGGTGGGGTCGATACTACCAGCCCCTCCATAGCCAAAGCCTGATGCTGTCGGTGGCCACGTTGGCCAGGCCAGTGAGGGGACCCTTTGATCTCGTCTGCATCTCTCTCCTCCCATTGATTGTGAGTGTGGGGCCGAAACGCAACCAAAAATGTGAAAGTGTCCTGTTTAGGGAATGACGGGAGCCGCAGGTGAAAATGTAAACGTGGAGCACCATTTCCTCCAAGCCACACAAAATGCATGTGAACTGGTACTGAGTGAACTTGCTTAACCTCGCATTGCATGGGATTGCTGCCTGCAACGCCATCCAGCCCACACTCCCAACGGAATGGGGAAGGAGCGCATACCATCTCTCTCACTTGCATCGGTCAGGTTTAGTGTGGAATTGATGCAGAATGTTTCCCCAATAAACACTGACCAGGTCATCTACGATCCTCTTGGATCACGTTTTTGTTTGGGGAGAGACAGTAGGGGCTGGAATGCTTGGCCCACTGTGACTGGGTGACGTCGAATGTCATCACTTCCTTTCCCTCACAGGTTTGAGTGATGGGAGTCTGCTGGCCTGACCAGGTGAGGGATGCAGATTCCCTGAAAGGCATCTGGAGCACTGTGTCCAGTTCTGGTCACCCTGCTATAGGAAGGATGTTGTTAAACTGGAGAGGGTTCAGAAGAGATTTACCAGGATGTCGCTGGGAATGGAGGAATTGAGTTATAAGGATAGGCTGGGGCTATTTTCACTGGAGCATAGGAGGTTGAGGGGGTGACCTTTTTATAGAAGTTTATAAAACCATGAGGGGCATGGATAGGATGAATGGCAAAGGTCTTTTCCCCAGGGTAGGAGGGGGTCTAAAACAAGGGGGCATAGGTTTAAGGTGAGGAGGAAGATTTGAAAAGGAAATGATGATCCAACTTTTCATACAGAGAGTGGTTCATGTGTGGAATGAACTTCCTGAGGAAGTGGTGGATGCAGGTACAGTTACAACGTTTAAAAGACATTTGGACAGGTACATGGATAGGAAAGGTTTGATGGATGTGGGCCAAGTGCAGGTTGGTTCAGTTTGGGAACATGCTTAGCATCGACTGGTTGGACCGATGAGTCTATTTCCATGACTGTGCAATTTTCAAGGTCATTTTGCTTACTCTAGCCCCACAACTTTTGATCTTTTAATTGCTCCTGTGCCTCTTTCTCAATCTGCAGAACAGGCTTGAAGAGTTGAATGGTTTACTTCTGTTCCTATGTTCCTAATCTTCACAACCCCACAGCGTAGCCTATATTTATATTGCGCTTTTTAACATTGTGAAATGTCCCGAGGTGCTTCCCAGGAGTATTCTTCGACATAGACTGTCACCGAGGAATTGGGACAGTGCGGTCAATTTTAGCGATTGTGGTAAAGCAGGAGATCGTGGTGGAGAGGCAGAGAGAGATTTGTTCCACACAATGGAGTGAACTGATGAAGAATACAACAGGAGCTTAGTCTGTACACACTTTACTAGCCTTTGTTGGCAGAAACTCGCTATGCAAGCTTGTACCTCCAAACGCAACAGCTCCATTTGTTTCAAAAGTGAATCCAAACACAGTTAAACACACAATTGATACACCTTCATCGAGGTTTAGAAATAAAACTCTAAAACTTGAGAGAGAGGCGCCTGACGGTAGCTAAAAGGTGAAAGGTGATCCACTGCACAGCTCAATAGGAGGCCATTAGTACAGAGGCTGGTTCTCTTGGAGCTAGTCCCAGCCAACC